GACTGTGAAAAATATCCATAAACTTACAACACAGCAAGAGGAAACTAAAAAAGCCAGAAATAGATTACGTGAAAACCTTATGGAAATTTCAAAATTTTAGGTTTCTGCAAAAAATGTAAAAATAGTTAAGGTGTCATTTTTTGGCCTAGCCATACACTATGATTAAAGAAACACTAGCATATCACAGCTTCTTGGTCATATGACATTTGCTTTGTATAACAAGCAGCTTATTATTACTATTATTTTTAGTTTTAAAAAGCTGTCATATCCTTGCATTCCTTGCAAGTAATACACAACCATGGTAGGAAACCACTTGAGATTATGCTTTGGAGAATAACAGTGTGATCTGACTATTCAGTTTTGTTTTGTTCAAGGAAAACTAACTACCTGCTTCTTTACATTATTTCATTAAACATTAACAGATTAGAAGAGTGAGGTCCTGAGACTAGCACAATACTAGTCCTTAGATGAAATTCCAAACAATACTCTGCTTTACTGAGCAAAAATCCCACTAATAATGCCTTGCATGATTATCAGAACTTATTTTTCCTTAAAACAAAACAAAACAAAACTCATACCGTAATGCAACTCACAGCTAAAATTTCCATCTACCTGATGTTTCACCAGCATAACCTTGTATGGACATTCAGAAATACTATTTAACTAAAAAGACAAAATCTGGTTTCAAAAGTTTCTTTGACTTTGCACAGATGAGCTGGAAGTCTCTGTATTGAAAATTCTTGTAACAGTGTTCTCCTAAAAACGTGAAGATGAATTATATAGTGCTCAATTTTAAGTGATTTTTAAAAATACACAGTGAAAGTGTTGTAGAGGTACAACAGCTAATCAACACTCTCTCAATGCGTTTTATAAAGGCACCAATATAAATTTTTTTTTCTAAGTATTTAATACATTGAATTCAGGATATTAGGAGACCAGTTATTGTATAGTTTAATTATTTTGCAGAAACTGGAGGTTTAAAAACATTCCTCAGGTAACTTTTCTATATACAAACTACAACTTCTCCACCACTCTTTTTTTCCTGTGCATTTGGGGAATTCCTGTTCTAGAATAGTCTTCAGAAAATAGCATTTGCTGCAATAATCTAGAAAATGTCGGTAAAGATGATCACCAACACAACATCCCTTCTTGTTAATGAACACTTTAAAGTTGAAAAATAACACAGTCAGGATCTTATAATCTAAGCTCTGTCTTGAAACTAAGGCCATACGGATTTTTTGTTTGTATTTTTGCAGCCTTTTCTTTTTCTACTTTAAGGAATGATTTTGGAGAGAAAATGAATTAACAGTGGAAAATAAGTAAACCAATTTTCATTGAAATGCCTTCACTGGTATAAATCTTGTGAAATATTTACATAAAATATCAGAAAGACTTCAGGTGGTTGTGTGAGGTGTACAGCACAGACATAAAAAAATACCAAGATCACTAAAATATTACTGTCTTTGTCCATCTGTCAACACATAGCAGTTGAGAATTTCTTTTTTCTCTATCTTCCTATCCAAAAGTAATTTGTTTCCTTCCCTTTGGAGATGATATAAAATTAGCTTAAAATCTCTACTTTTTTTTTTAAACTGTTTTGATTTCTTCTGAAGTAGATAGTAAAGACCCAACTTTCAATAGTTGCCCAATAGTCCTAGAGACTAATAACTTCTTTAATATTTCTTAATAGATCTGGTAAGAAGAAAGCTCAGGTATTGACAGTAGTTAGCTCTCTATAAGCTCTTACAACACAGCTGACCACTCTAATTGCTTCTTTTCATAAATTTTCTTTAAAAGAGTGTCTGTGTGATACATAATTGCTTATAGGTATGTAGGAGAAACTCTCCACTTTGTGGCCAAATCTAAATCCTGGTCTCTTATTCTCCCATTTTGTAGCCCAGAATATTCTCAATGGAATGTTTTAGCAAGTCAGAGTTGCTTCTAATCGCTGACTGGTCACTTGCACTGTTGTAAAAAGTCAGGTTAGAATGGCTTTTTGAGTGATTGACCACCAATAGAGAGAGGATGCAGGTTTCTCCAGCAAGAGGCTGGAGGGAAAATTCTGGGCAAAATTAGGGCAATGCAACATGATGAATTTCTGAATTTTTGCCAACATGGAAAACACAGAAACTAACCCATTTTCATGTCCCTTAAATACTCTGATTGTAAAATCTCAGCTGAATAAACTGGGCAGAAAACTGTTCTAGAAAACATGATTTATTTGGTGTCTGACCCCCATACTTATTTTTAGGTGCCACCACCTTGCTTATTTCCCTTAGTGAAGAAGAGGCATGCAAATAGAGCAGTCCAGATCTCCCAGAAAGCACTGTGTCCGCAGGAATTCTTCCTCACCTACACACTGGAATCGACCTTGTCCTCATTTGTCCCGGCCACACCCTGAGCCATCTGTACCTCTTTCTGTTCCTCACATCGTGAGGCTGAGAAAGTACAAGCACACACTTGTAGCAAATGCACTTGCATAAATACCAAGTCCCTTTGATAAAATAGATCCCTAAAAAGATAGAATTAGAAAAGGAGAGCGCAAGAGTCTTGTCTTCAATGGAGCACTATACAACTCTTTAGATCCCCCTGAATTCAGTTTCATCCCAGAACAGGTACATAATTGCTTACACATTTTTTTTTAATTGAAAGCAGTAAGAAAATTGAGACAATGCCAGCAGAAACTCACACACAGCCAAAGTTATGAACATACTGACTGCCATCCAAATGTTTCTTTAAATTGTGGTGAAACACAAAATCACTAATTTAAATATTGACCTACCATGGAAAGGCAAAAATAAAATGTCAATCACTTATGATTGGGTAGGGTGGAGGGCCTCAAAGACTAGCTTTGAGCTGTTTATTAATGCACTAATGTACCAAAGCATGCAAGAGGGAAAAAAAAAAAAAAAGACAGTTGACATTCTATTTAAAACATTTCACGTCTCTGTTTTGGTGATTCTCTTAGATTGAAGGAAACAGTGTGGACGTTTCTCCTAGAATAACTACAGCAGGGACTAGTAGAGGAGGGCTCAGTGGGAACCATGTTGCTTAGCTCTGGCTGCCAGTGCTCAGAAGCTGCTGAAATAAGCAAATGGCAAGTCAGCAAATGAGCAAAGAGCTGTGTCGAGTCCAGAGGTGCTTATCTGTCCATCGTTCTCTAGTCTCGCTAATTCTCACATCATTCTGTGTTAAGAAATATCGTTTCTGCATCCCGTTTAATGATATTTTTCAGAGCAGCTATTAGGGACTGCTAACAGAATGTCAGCATCCACAAATGGTTCTCGGATAATCCCTTCACCAGCAGGCTAGCCCTCTCTGAACACCAGCAGCGAGTTCTGCCTCCAAGGGTGTCTCCCACGTGGCCTGACTCACCCTCTCCAGGATGCTTCCCTCGAATGCTGCAGGACTGCAAAGAACACAGAGCACCCACACACGTGAAGCTGAAGTCTGCATGTGGACTATGGTAACATGTATGACTAAGGGAGGAGAAAGTCTGTACTGAGAAACTGAGATGCATTTCTGAACAAGGACTTAACGCAAAGTTGAAAGTTTTTGAGACCAAAAAAGTGCTAGACACAATCACTTTCCCTTGGAGGTGCAGTCCCATTCTATACTCTGAGATTAAATAAAGCTTTTTTGTTTGTAAAAATAAGCTTTCTGTCTGTTTGTTTGACCTATATCGTCCAAATATAAGGGACACAGAAGTTCCCTTTCCTTGCACCAAAAGTGGTAGATGTTATTAGTGAAGAAATACTAGAATAAATAGCCCTAATTCCGTAACCTTTGGGGTTCAAGTTCCACATTCAGATTGAATAGGGAATTGCTCCAGGGAGAGTTTGAAAGACACAGCCTGTGGCAAGGTCTGTAAGATCTTCCGCTGGAAGAGAAGATGAATGGACTATGGACAGAACACTGGGTGGTCACAGCTTGAAAAACACAAGTGAAAAGAGAAATACACCAGAAAAGGGATTTCTGAGTGGGGTTTTTTCCCCCTACTGTTAGCCTAATTATATTTTTCTGCTGACTGGTTAACACTGATGAAGTGCTGATAAAGTGACACTGGTAAGCACTCTTTCAGAAGCAAATCTGTATACTATGCGGCCATCACATTACAACGTTAAAACTCCCCAAACAAGTTTACGAAAAAGTAGAGGCCCCTTCTGGAAACCTCAGACTGCCTCGTAGCCACTCTTAGACCATATGTTATTCTGAAAACTAGATAAAAATACTATTCATTAAAGGTGTTAAAAGTAAGGCTGCCAGGGTGTCTATAAAATGCCAGTCATCAAAACTATGGAAAAAACAGTGCTAGGTTTAGAAAAATGAGATCCCAGGACCTCGGGTGATCTGGAGGGGTCCCTGACTACCTGTAGCTGAAAAGCTTTGCTCTAAGGTACAATGTGCCATCCTGTGTGATAAGCTCAATAGGGGAAGTAAACTTAGTACCCTCACCAACAACCCATCCAAGGAGTTTTTACCGAAAGCAACAACGTGTTTCTGATCCATGGTCTAGAGGAAAAACAAAGCAGTTCACAATTTAAAACAAATTTTTCTTTGAAGCGTTAAATTACTTATACCATTTTAAAATGCGAGTGTCCCACCCAGAAAACTAACCTTTCCTGCCTTCAAACACAATCCTGAACATCAGTGGCAAATCAGAATCTCTTAGGTGAATCTGTAAGGAATCAATTGATTTCCCCCCCCCAAAGCATGATATGCCTTATATATCTACGCATGGCAGAAAAGCACTGCTCTTAAAATCCCCACGAAACAAGCCAAGTAATCAAGATCCCCCGTCCCTGTCCCTTCTGTGTCTTCCTAATTGTAATTAGGCAGAGCAAAGACACTGCGTCCACAGAATAAAGAATTAATGACAGTAATAATATAAAAAAAAAAAAAAGGTATGTCAACATCTTGGGGAAGGTGGGACTGTAAGTGCAGTAATTCTTCATGTGCAGTTTGTTACTTCATAGGGGTCCCCTTTGGAATGGAAAGGCCTAGTGGAATGTGTGCTCCCCTCGCACGATGTGTGATGAGAACTCATAACGGTCCTGGCTCCTGTAGCCGCAGATGTTGCATTCCAGTGGGTCCCGGTAGCCATGGCAACCCATGTGAATGGTGTACATGACATGGTCTAGGAAAAGGACGCGGCAGTGCTCGCACCTGAAGGCCCTGATCTGTTCTCCTTCGCCGTTGAAGACCTTGTAGATGTCCTTCAGGGAGCCCTTGGGGGCCTTGGTGGCGTCCAAAGCCTTGACATCCTCCTTCATGTAGGCTGGGCTTTGCTTCCTCTTGGGATTTAAGGCAGGGTTTCCTTGGTAGGACTGGTGGTCATCGTGGCTGCTTTCCGAGTCCGTAGAATCCAGGCAGCTATTGCTGGGGGAGGCCTCTCTTTCCTGGGGTCGACTCTTTGGTCTGATGAGAGAGATGGGGCCATCCATGTTGTTCTCGTGACTGTCGGAGGTCTCCCTGCTGATGGGTCTCTCTATCCTGTTGGGATGATAGACCTGAGAATACGCTGAGCTCATCACGGGGGCCACCTCAGCGATTGTGCTTGGCGGGTGCTGCATCAGCGGGTGAAGGGCCTCAGCTCCAAGGTAGGTGATTGCATTGTTGATGGCTTGGTCCATCATGTGAGACTGCATCAGCTCAGCCTCCTTCTCATACGTTAAGTTCATATCAAAGTGAATGTCTGGGTAGCTGAACCGCATGAGCTTTTCCCCTGAAAGAGGGAGGGGAGGAAAAGCAAAAAGGAAAAAAAAAAAAAAAAAAAAAAAAAAAAGAAGGACACAATAAAATTACCGGTTGGGTTAAAAAGATAAAAGTACAAATCAACTAATCAAATCCATGTTTCCTAATATGGCATATCTTATTTTTTTTTTTTAGACCAAGTATGTAGGCTCTTTAATTCTGCTGAGACTCACAGACATTCTAAACCTGTCAAAGGGGAATAGTCATAAAAATGGCACAAGCCATTTGTATTTGTCCTAATGCCATCATTGCAATGCATCCAGCCTGAGAAGTATAAGTGAGTGTTCAATCTTTTTTTCATTCAATATTAAAGCTTCCACTTGTCTAGAGCTCAGCAAATATAGAAGAAAGAAAAAAATACCGAATGAAAATAAGTCAGAGACTATGCTTCTATGCTTGTTTTTGCATATTTTAAACATTAGTGAACAAGTCACAAAGATAAAAAATTAAAAAAAAAATTAAAAAAAAGCAAAACTAGACTCATCTGGTTATAAAATCTGTCACCTCACTATTATATAGGGTTAATTTGGTTGATTTAGCTATGTATTAAAAAACAATTTATTTTTTGTTAATCCTCACTTGAGAATATTTTTTCATTGATTTTTAGGGAAAGTGGAAGAGAGAGGGGGAAAGACAGAGAGAAACACTGATGTGAGAGAAACACATCAATTGTGTTGCCAACTTCATGAGCTCTGACCAGGGCCTGGGCCATGTAGGAGCCTGCAACCAAGGTACATGCCCTTGACCAGAATTGAACCTGGGACCCTGTAGTCTGCAGGCCAATGCTCTATCCACTGAGCCAAACTAGCTAGGGTGTGAGATCAGTTATTAATATATTTATTGACACCAGTTTGTAAGGCTGTGAGATTTTCCCCCAAAGTACTAGCAGCTATGTAGATATGGCTTCACTAGACAGTGGGGTTTTACCAGGAGAACAACAACAAAGCAGGAGAGTCCAGAATATTAGCAACAGAGTAGAAAAAGTGATGAGCCATGGAATAGAATTTGGATGACAGGAGACTAACATATATGCAGAAAGCTCAGGGATCACTGGCTGAGAGGGCTTGGCAAGGTCAAAGAATAGTATTGAACTGGGGGACACAGTAAACAGGAATTTATATTAAGTGTGGAATGATGAAATCTTCATTTCAGACATGGGAACAGTTAGTAGGCAATTGTTATATATTACTACTAAGGCAGAGTCCAAATAAAGAAAAAAACCTCCATCAAATCCTAATAAAAATCTGAAGTCATTACTTTAGAATCAAAATGTAAATTAAAAAATCTGTCCCTCCTTTCTAAGGAATGTAATAAAATCAAATTGAGAATAGCATTTGTAAGTCATAAAAAAATAAAATGTTTCAAAAAGCAAAGCTAAATAAATTCAGAAGACAGAAAAACATAGTAATATATTTCATATTTTCCCAACTACACTAGTGTCTAGTTGAGATATAGGCTTTTAATGGACATCCATCAAATTAAGTCAATTTTAAAAATAGATGAACTTCCATTTAAATAAAGAGAAAGAGACAGAAAGGAAAGTCCCTGAGGGCCCATGGCAGGCCTCCGAATATACTCTCAAGGGCATCCCACTGACCTATATGAACTGTGGTCCTTAGGGCTGCCCTCAGCATTCTCTCAATAAGCTCTGTCATTAATCTCTCCAGCTTCCTTAAAGCGATATTTTGGTGATTTGTTAGTTCTTCAATTTTAGAGTGAAAGGAAACCTTCTCTGTGCTTATTGGAGTCATAGAATCTGTTACCCTTTCCTCCCTGAAATAACCAAGATTTTCTCCCAATCACCATTCAACTCACAGAGATATTCCACATGATTTTTACAGTAGAATGTGAGAATCCATTAGAGTATTTTTTATTTCTTCTAATTCCTATCCTGTATAGGATTTATAAAAATAGATATTACATATACAACCAATGACAATTCTTCACTTTGAATCTCTGCAATTCACACGGTCTTTAAAAATTAGATGCTTTTTGTATGCTCAGAGATACTTTATGACTTACAATATGCAGAATCATGCCCACTCTGAGTAGATCAAAGAATATCTGTGGGCTTGCAAATGAAAAAGAGAAGTCTAATGCATCACATTTAATCTTTTCTGTTCAAAATCATAGGCTGCGTGAAAACAAAGATCCAAATATGAAACATCTTGAATGTAGGTTGCTGCATTATTTTTCTAGTTCAAATTTTTTTTAAAAAAAGAGAGGCTTCTCTTTATCCTAAACCCAATACTAATCACATTAACATCAGGTGCAGAAACAGCTTCAAGACCTGGTGCTGAAGAAAATTTTAAAACACAACGCAAAACTGGTTAATAGCCTACCTCATTTCCCTTAAACATTTTTTTTTAAATTTAAGTGAACATTTTATTTTTACATGCTATGTCAATTTGTATATCATTCCATTTTTAGATAGCAATTTACTACTAGCAGTATTTCCTTTATTTCTTTTTCTTTAGCTCATATACTTAAATCCGTGTGTGTGTGTGTGTGTGTGTGTGTGTGTGTGTGTGTTTGCACTTGCAAGTATGATACACATGGAGTGGCATAAAGCAGAAAAGAATAATGGAGAGAAGAGATTAACGTTTTATCTTATGAACTGAAATGCATCATAGGTACTTCCAATCCATGGGAACATGTCTCTGCCCGTTAGAAATCACCTCTTTAAAGAAATAAAAGCATCTGTAATGCTTACCCACAAACTTTTGTGGAGTGGAGCTTTTACGTTTTCCCATGTTCCCCGTGAGCTTCTCTATGACAGCAGGTCTCTCAAAAGGCACCAGAGAAATATTGTTGTCCATAATAGGCTCTTGTTCCTTACAATCTTCTATAGGAGGTACTATATGAAACCATACAAAAAATGCAATCTGATAATTTCTTCAACACTTTTAAAGGTATAAAGCTGAATTTGCCATCTCAACATCTGTTATACAGACATAAGCTGGTATGCTTGAGGAAAAGCAAGTATAATAGAAAGATAACCTCCAGTGTTCAAGTCCCCGGTAGTTTTGCTCTCACACACAGAGGATCGCTTTTTATCTGAGTCTCTCTCAGATCAACAGCATAAACTGTTGCCAGTATTATGGGTGGCAAACACGTTCATCTCGCTTCTCATCTTATGCCCCTGAAAGTGTTTTTTAACAGTGATTAAAATCAATACTACTTCAAGACTGCACTATTCTCAAGGCTTTTGAAGTTTATTTTCGTAAAGTCCACTAGTTTGCAGAAAAACTTCAACAGACACACAGAATAACGGCACAATATTTGACCAGGTGGGTGCTTTTTTTTTTCACCCATATATTTTCTTGTAACAATTTTTCTATGTGATGAGCTGAGTGAGCTGGTAGCCCCTTTGAGCCTTCTGAAGGAGATTCCATTCTGAACATGCCGACTAAGCTGGCTGCTTCATGACTGTAATTTATTTTAACAAGAGCTGTTCAGCAGGTTAAAAGAATCCATTTCCAAATGGCATATTTGCTCACTAAACTGCTCTAATGCATTCGGCATAAACTTTCCAATGCTGCTCCTTCTTCATCCCATTCCGTTAAGTTGCTATGGGCTAATATACTAGCTCATATGTTATTCATTGACATGCATCGTGTAGATGAAGAACTTGTAAAAACTTTGAATAAAAATATTGTCAAAAAACATTTAACCAAGGACAGATTTAACTAGGTAACATCTAAGGACAGACTGAGATCAGCTGATTAAAACCATGTTCGTAGGAAAGACCATAACTTACTGCTTCTTGATTACTGTTGCTTTCCCCAATTGTACCTGTGCCAATTCTCTTTGGAAACCAAAGGGTTTCATATCTTAGGATATCGTTACTTATTCAGCATGCACTGTATAGGGATTTATTCTGCTCCTTGCATTTGCAAAGGATAGTTCACTATGCGAAACACAATGCATTCTCATTTATAAGGGCGAAAGCTAAAATAAAGTGAGAAAGCAAGAGATGAAATTTAAGGAAATCCAGTGCACAATTCAGGTGACTTAGTTAATAAGCAATACAGGTTGCATATTTTGAAAAAAGAAAAATAGCATCATAAAATTGTTTTCCTAAATTGGATATGTTTAAAAAGATTGACATTCAATCTAAAGTTTGGGATTAACCTAATGTAGTCTGGTAGATGGGCCAGAAAAATATAATCTTAAATCTCTGTTTTATAACAGACCTTCCGGTTACTAATGACAAGGAATTCTACAATTATTGGATGTTAATTTGGAAAAATAATTCCAAGAATAAATTCAGAAACAAGGAAATGCTTTGCTTGTTTGTTATATGGATATAATTAATAATATTACCAGGTGGAAAAAGTATGTCCTACATTATGTGTGTCCTATCTTAGAAACAACTGAAATTGTAAAAGAAAAAAAGTAAAGCAAATAGAAGATTTAAATGAGGGGGTAAAGGAAGATGGAATGGCAGTGGTGATGTGTATTGAACCATGCAATTAGCTGCAGATTATTGTCAAAATCTTAAACTTTTGTTTTTTAAAATATATTTTATTGATTTTTTACAGAGAGGAAGGGAGAGAGATAGAGAGTTAGAAACATCAATGAGAGAGAGTCATCGATCAGCTGCCTCTTGCACACCCCCTATTGGGGATATGCCCACAACCAAGGTACATGCCCTTGACAGGAATCGAACCTGGGACCCTTCAGTCTGCAGGACGATGCTCTATCCACTGAGCCAAACCGGTTTTGGCAAAATCTTAAACTTTTGTTTTGGGTGGATTCTCGGGCACTTGCTATATTATTTAGAAAGTACTTATAAACCAAATAACTATAAACCGAAGATGAAAATATGTCACAGACCAAGATCACAAATTAAAGAAGAAAAAAAAAAGTTTGTTGTAAATTTTGTTAAAAAACAGCAAAACTGGTTAACAGGGTTTGTCCCAAAATTGAATATACTAATTAGTTTTGAAATGAGTAGTCTAAAACTTAGCAGTTTTGCTCTAAGTCTCACCTTAAATTTTCATAGTTGCACACATTTAACATTCAAAACGAAACCTGGGTGTGGGAACTGTCCTATACCACATCCACCTCAATTCAGATGATTTGTCCCAAGTTCAATGAAGCTCGTGTGAACTGAAAATAATGACTTTGGCAGAGCTCTGGTCTAAATTGTGCATTGCAAAAGTCCTTTACAGATCAGAGATTGATCCTGATTCTACCATATTGACAACAATAATAACAACAACACTAAGGGCTGACATGTGTTAAGGATTTGCATTTAATAATTCATTTAATGCTTTCAATAATCCCCTAAGATACAACTGCCTTCTCCATTTTACAGGTGGGGAACCAAAGACCCAGAGATGTGATGTTATTTCCTCGGGGTCTACATCCAGTTAGTAAGGAATACGAGATATGAATTGAACCTTCGTGATCTAGTTCCAGGCTCTTGGCTCTTAGCCAATATGCTGCAGCCAATATTCTTTTTATATGTAATTCGAATTTTGTCTTTATATAAATAAGATCGACATGGTCTGCCACTGGGGAAATGTCTGATACATTTTCTTAACTATGTAACTAACCTGAACTTTCTGCTTTCATGAATCTGTGCATCTCATCAAAATGTTTCTGGATACACAGGGTGGTTGGCAAAAGTAGGTTTACGCTTGGAAGTATATTTAGTTAACTCAATGATAGGTTACTCCCATAGTGAGACGTTCATCTAGGCTAAGAAAATACCAACATGCTAACTGCACTTGTTGGAGCAAACTTCATAGCCAAGTATCTTCTTTGGAGTTATTTTTAAAGATATAACCAGGGTAAACATAGATTTATGCTTGCATTATTTTATTATCTCCTTTCATTGTTAAATCATAAAGACAGAACCATGGTATTCCCAATACAAGCTACTGTACTGAACAATCCACTTAAATTTCAAGTTCCAAGAATATCCAATCTGAGAGACCTAGATTAGGCCATGTGTCCATCCCGTGGCCCGTAGCAGGCCCGGCACCTAGACCGACAGTCCCGCCATGGCTTCCTGCAATGGGAGACAGTTCTCTGAAGGGAAATGAAAGTCTTGTTATCAGAAGAAGAAGGAAGGTATGTAGGGCAGGCAAAAACAACAGATGTCTTCTATATTCTCACATTTTCTCCATTTCGCTGAAGCTAAAACACACTTTTCAGTTATCTGAGCTATTTTCTTGAGAACATTGGACAGTGCTAATACTTGCTTTGGCTTCTATCAAATCACTCCATTTTCAGGCCTCTGCTCTTACTCATCTTCATGGCCTTTTTAAAAAAAATTTTTTTTTTATTCCTGATGTGTTCTTGACCTTATAGATGTCTCACTATATTCTTAGCTATATAATTTTATAAAACTTGTTACTTCAGGCTACTATCTATGTAATGATGGCTTCCACAACTTTATTTCCTACCCCTCTCTCCAGATCTTTTTAAAAAATATATTTTTATTGATTTCGGAGAAGATGGGAGAGGGAGAGAGAGATAGAAACATAATGATGAGAGAGAATCATTGATTTGGCTGTTTCCTGCACACCCCCTACTGGGGATTGAGCCCCACAACCCAAGCATGTGCCCTTGACTGAAATTGAACCTGGGACCCTTCAGTCCACAGGCGGAGGCTCTATCCACTGAGTCAAACCAGCGAGGGCTCTCTCCAGATCTTGATATACCTGCATGTATCAAGAATATATATACATATATCTATATCTAATATATAGCTATACATACAATATTTGACTTCTTAGATTCACTTGGCTATCTCTAGTAGGCACTTAAAGGATAATGTGTCAAAAAATTGAAATCTCCATTTCCCTCCCCAAACTTTCTCTTATTTTTCTAATTTCCAACTCTTGTGACTAGCACTACCTAGCTGGTCGTCCATGCTATATAATTGTGGCAGATTCTAGATTTTGTCCATTCAACCAGTCTCCTCTTCCCTACCAGCTCTCCATATATATGGAGAAAAAGGGGAGAGGAGGAGGGAGAGGGAGAGGGAGAGGGAGAGGGAAAGAGAGAGAGAGAGAGACCAAGCGTTTTAGATTGTACATCTACAGTTGCTCCCAATTACCTGACTTTTCTGGATATTGTAGGTCTCTAAGCACAACTAATCAGTAGACTGTTGCAATGGTCTACTTGCCTCTATGCCAACTTTTCTGATCTATCTCCCCTATTTCTAGTAATGAAATTTTGATGTAATAATGTTGGTTTTTTTTTTTGTTTGTTTTTTTTTAGGATAAATTACAATTGTTCACTTAGTACATAGGCCCTTAAATTCCCTGTTTATAGCCTAAGTGTCTTAGCCTTACCACCTTCAGATGCTTCTGACCCTTACAAACTGGGCTCTAATTATACGTGACTGCTCCTAGGTCCGTAACCTACCCTGCTCTTTTAGATTTCCATGTCTTCACACATGCTGTTCTTTCTGCATGAAACACTCTCCTTCCAAAAGTCCACTCCAACATAACTTTCCCTAGAAATTCCTCTTGGATACCCAGAGGTGTGCGGCCATAATGCTTATCACTGTGTTCTCACTGTAGGTTTATAGGTCAGATCCTTCCAAGTGTTTGTAAATGACCTTAGGGTAGAGACTGCTTTTTATTTGACTTTGTATCTGTAGTACCTTTTATGATGTGAGACAAATATACTAGTCAATGGATGTTTCCCAAGTGACTTAATGAAGGAAATGTTACCCAATGAAAATAGGGTGAAAAAGTGTATTAGAAGGTTTACAGGTTCCCAACATGTCTCCATACTTTCAATAAAGAAATTCTCTTTACCAAATAACCCAAATCATAAATTTAAAAATATTTATTTTTTTTCTTTAAAGTCAGCTATCTTTCCAGTTTACACTTTCATTTTTGTCTTTGGGTAAGGGGAAAACTTAATTATACACTTTAATTTTTAAAGCTTTTTCTTCAAGCTAAATAAATTTGAAAAATTAGCATAAAATAACTTTCAAATAAGATAATGTGCTATAACACCACATTCATTATTATCATCTTTAAAACTATAAGTCATTATTTTTCCCTTTCCATCAAACTAAATGGGTTTTTATTCTAACCCTGAATATGTCTTCAGGGTTTCCCCAACCTCATCTCCTGCTACTGCCTATTCCTCTTCTCTGTGGCATTCTCACTTCCTGCTTCTCCTAACATGCCAGCAAGGCATCCATCCTATATGCTATCTGGGTGCCATATTTCTTTAGAAGACACAAATGCAGTTAAAGAATGCTGCTCTGACTTTTGACACTTTCTCGCTAGAAGAACCAACATGGAAAGAACATGTTTTGGGAAAGAGAGGCTAGGAAATATCATTATGTCAGATATGAAAATAAAGAATAGTAATTAATTTCAAGGAGCTAATGGCAGCCATAAGTATAGCAACTGCCATACATACCACAAGAAAAAGAAAGGACAAAAAAAAATAGAGAAGATCTAACAAACTAGTAAGAGAGGGAAGGGGATTCACGTGATTTCACTGCGGCTCTGTTTACAAGGAGACACAGGCCAAGCAATGCATATGAGACAAGGTTCATGATGAACTCTAGCAGCATTCCCCCATGTTTTTCTCTCCTGTGGTATTTATTAACTCCTTACCCTCACACATTCAATTCCCCACTAAGTAGGCTAACAATTATTATTACAACACACCTTGAAAAAGTACTGCAGTGAATGTTACGAATGTAATCTTAGGTGGTAAAATTGATATCCAATATTGAAGAACAAATATTTGGGACTATAAATGATATTGGTACCTCCCTCCACCCCCTCCTTCTTGGCTTTTCCCCTGGTCTCCCCAGACCTGAGGGTCTCCCTCCGCCCCTCCTCACCTCCTCAATCTCTAGTACACTTTCACAGCCACCTGCAAAGGGCCTTTGCCATGAAGACATAAGCAAACTGGAAAGTGGGGCTGGTGCTGAGGCTGCAGCTGTTCAGAAAAAAGACTTCTCCCTTCCCAAGATACACCTGTTTAAACTGCTCGTCAGCACTTACTCCGTAACTGGTTAATCTGCCAACAGATAGTTAAATGTCCACTATGTTTATGTAGAGTGATCTCCCTATAGCAATATAAAGTCTTCTGGAGAGATTCCTCTCATTCACATGTGCATGCGACCTAGAGTTACATAAATGACTATGATCAGAAAGGTGAATTAAGAGAATCACTAATCCAATCAAATGTCAAAACTGTAATAAGAGGCCACTAAATGGCGAAAGTAGTAGAGCACAAGGTGTCTTTGGAAATTTGTGGCAAGCTTTGGCATGCACCCAAGCCTCTATAAGCTATCCTGCCTCAAGCCACCTCTACAACCAGTACTTCAAACAGAAACAGTGTGCTTCATAGGCAAATGAAACCTCCAGTGCCCAAATTAATGCCAGTAAGTAACGTAGCTTTAAAGGGAATTGAACTTTTACTACTACTTAATGTTTAATGCGCAAAAATGTACTAGTAAAAAGAACTATTTATTGGGTGTTTATTGCACACCCAATAGCATTTAATTCTCATGCCAAGACGATGAGTAACATACGCAGACATCACACAGCCAGACCAGGTCTGCTGGACTCACACCTCTTTAACCTCTTTGCTCTGGAACCTGTGCTACCCTCATAAGCCCAGGTAATCCAAGCTTGCAATATCAAATTTGATAAGACTTCAAACAGAGAGGTTTTAAATTGTTTTAGTTAGAGGTTTTAAATTGTTTTTATTAACAATATAATAAAAAATGTACTTGCAACCATGTAAGAATTAAATCCGATCCTTTATATTATATAAACTGGCCTCAATGCTTAAATTATTCACGATAACAAAATACTTTAATTAAAAGGAATTCCCAACAACATATAATCACTAGCTATCCAATAAACACAGTTTCATAGTATGCACCATATAAAACAAACAAAAAAACCCACAAATCATCTCAGAGCCATCTATAAATCACCCAATAGATATTTGTACTTTAAAGGTGACTATAGCAATCTCCAATTATTCTGTTTAATATTAGCCAAATATTTTTACATAACAGATATAAAAATACCAATAAGTTAAGATTTTTTATATGTTTTTGTATGGAAAATAAGATAAAAAACATAATTAACAGGCCAAAACAAGATGCCTCTAAATCTAAAGAAGTGAACTTAACAACTTTCTTATGTAAGGCTGATTTACCCACAAAAAATTTTAGAGTTACTAACTGATAAATCTTAGAGACTGCCTTCCATCTGCTACTATGGATTCTGGAGATAAGTATCATTTGCTTGGATTTTGATTTCTGTGCATGGTAGCGGTGCCTAATTTTTATCTAGTTTGTGCCCCACCCTTGCAGAAAGAAAATCAATAATTTCCAAGATAATTCACCAGGCACTTTGGAGAAAATTCCAATTCTATCCACAATCACTTACCTAGAAGAAAGGCACACGTAGCTAATGAAATCTTTCCGGAAACCTGTAGACTTATGTGGGACCATCTCTAGCTATTTGAATAAACACTGCCTTCCTTTGGCATATTCAAGGTCACCTGCCATTATTATAATAGGTTAACTCAAACACGTGTTATGAGGACTAACTGGGGAGTATCACAAAAATTCAATATATTAGTTTTTTTGCAAAGGGTCCCAAAGCTCAACTCTTTTCAAATGCTTAAGAAGAGAATGTCGCACAAAGCTAATATGATCTAAAATTGTTCTAAAGAAAGTAAGATTTTTCCCCCTCCATGCTGAAGGATAGACAGAACGACTTCACCCATACAGAACTCGAAAAGCAGTAGAGGGGTACGGACACTGTGAATGCCGGGTCTACCCACCGTGGTGACTCATGACCTGGCCCGCGGCCTCCATGCTGACGTTCTGGAGATAGTTGTGGCAGCGCTCCTTGTGCTCCTCCAGCGAACTGCGCTGCTTGTAGCTTCGTCCACAGTAGTTGCACTTGTGAGGTTTACCCACTGCGGAGAGAAGTGGAGATGAGTGTGTGCTGCCAGTCTCCTCCCGAGCAAAGTGAATAGCTAGCTCCTGGTGGTGTTAGGCTTTTCAGACTTAAATCTCTTCCTCCTCCACACACTCAGATAATAAAATCTCCACCAAGACTAAGAGGCAGAAAGAAGATAAGGCGGATCGCACCTTCAGCGATAGGGGAAACACTGAATCAAATTCATGCTCTGACTGTCTGCTCCAGGATCCGTCTTCAAATTATCTGACTCTTAACACTAATGGTGACTTCTCACACCATTCTCTCAGCTTTGACTCATTCACAAGACAAATCAGGAATGCCCTAGATACATGATGAGAATTATCTTTTATTTTTTGGGGGTGGTAGTGATAAGAGCAGAGAATCTTACCGAAGGAAACTAAAATGTGACAACTCAAAATGTCATCGTTTAATGAGAAAATTATTCATGGGTACCAAGAAGACTAAGAGGAATTGGAGTGATGAGAAAAAGTGCAGATAAAAGCAAGGTTTCTCTTTTCTTTCCACCTTGGTAACAGCTATTCACACATGCAAAACGCTGCAGCAGATAAAGCATATTCTCCCACATCATCGCTGTTCTTGCATTACCAAGAATTAACCTCCCCAGCGCTTTCAGTTAGGATTAACAAGAACCACTGAAGCCCTAACACAGTTAGTTATACAATGATAGTAAGTGATGTTTTCCAACACATTTCACATTCAGGAAGTAGCTTTTTTCCTCATAGACAGAGAGCTGTATTTCAGTATACCTGGTAAAATACTGGGATGACCACTTAAAAAAACGCAAAACAAAACAACACTTCACAATATTGACTAAGAAGAAAAAAAACAACCAAAAAAAACCACCACATTGATGGAAAGAGGCATGCTCTGATGAATGAGTATTCACCTGGATATCACAGAGCACTTTGGTTCCTGGTTTTGAACCATAAGGAGAAAAGCATATGCTCCCAGGTGGTCTGTGCCTTAGCCCTCAAGAGTGAAGGCTGTGAAGGTCAGGAGTCAAGGTCAGGAGCTCTCTGGGACTCCCTTAAGAGTTATTCTGTTTGCCCACAGGATGTTCTTGGTCATGGCCAAACAGAGCATTCCTGAGTCCAGCCTCCAAAGCTAGACCCTGGGTATGAGTGGGGTTATGATGCTGTAACAAGGCCAGGTTTTCATTGGTAGGTAAAAGCTGCACTGCACTGATTTCTGTTTTAAGCAAAATAGATTGTATTTGAGATGCACATAAACTAAACTAAGTTGTTTCATTATTATACTTTTTTTTGTAAACTATCTTAAATAAAAAAAAGAGTTTCAAAGACATGATTACTCATTTCTAAAAATACTAGCCACTGTAACTTCTATTATTCAGAGCCAAGGATTTCTGGGAAGTGGAAACCAGGTAGCTGTGTATGTTATGCAGAATTGGTATCACGGTGTAAGAACTATTAAAAAATAGAAGAAAATGCTTTCAGTAAAAAAGCATTTCATGCAAATAACACAAATATATTCTCAGACAAGGGGCTACACATAACAAAATGGCTTTGTTTGCTGTAACTGTTACTCAGCTTTGGATTCTTTAGTGCTGTTTCTTTAGAAATAAGTGAAGGATTTGTACCGAGAAAGTCCATCAAGCAATGAATGCTTATTAAGCAGATGCACTGAAATTAGTTGTCCACTACAACCTCGTTCTGTCATCTTATTCCTCTTTATTATTCCTGTCGCACTGCATCCTATGATACCGGTGTAACTGTGAACACAGCCTACTATACTCGCCCTTATTTATATAAGCAAACTTGGTACCTTCTCACCTTAACTAAAATGTACTTCCCTTTTACTCTCCCTGGCTCACAATCCTCTATAAACTGAGGAGAAAAAGATGATACTTTATACTGCTCTCAAGACTCACTTGATTACTCCCCTCATTTCTGAAGTCTTCCCATTTGCTTTATTTCAGCTCCTCCCATTTTCTCCTGTCACTCTGCGCTAGCCGGTTTGGCTCAGTGGACCAAAGGGTCCAGGGGTCAATTTCAGTCAAGGGCACATATATCGGTTGCAGGCTACTCCCTGGTCCAGGGCTTGGTCAGAGGGCTTGTTGGGCAGGAGGCAACCAATTTATTTTTTTTCTCTTACATCGATATTTCTCTCTGCCATTCCCTTTCTCTTCCACTCTCCCTAAAAATCAATAAAAAACATCCTTGGGTGAAGATTAAAAAAAACAACAACAACCCATAACTAAAACATCACTCTTGCCTGGCCAGCATGGCTCAGTGGTTGAGTATAGACTGATGAACCAGAAGGTCATGGTTCCATTCCTGGTCAGAGCACAGGCCCAGGTTGCGGGCTAGATTTCCAGTATGAGATGTGCTGGAGGCAGCTGATCAGTGATTCTCTCTAACCATTGATGTTTCTATCTCTTTCCCCCTCTCCCTTCTTCTCTGAAATCAACAGAGGTATATTTAAAAATAAATCAAACATCACTCGTTCCTCTTCAACCCATCTTTGTTCTTGGTGAGTCCAAGGAATTAGAATAAACTTTTCTAAAAAATGGTAACCCCACGTTTCCCAATTCTTCAACTACACCCCACTCCAGCAATCTCCATACCGGGTGACATGTTGTGCTTTGACAGCTCATCACTATTTTACCTGTAGATTTGCTTTGGAAACACACCACTTTCCCCCTCTCGTTTACTACACACTGATGAAGAGCTGACTGTGCATCAACACTGTGATGAGCCTGGGTTGTCAAATGGAGAACAAATCTCAAGGTGGCTATCCTTATGCAACTGGCAGCTGGCTGAGGGAGGTGGGCATTTAGGAAATACACAGAGTATTACAAATTGCGGTAGATTCTGCAGAACAAGAGAATGCTGAGCTGGTCTAACATAGAAACTCAATTTAGTCTGTGAAGGCTGAGGTGGGAGGTCTTCCTGAGGCAGGAGCGGTTAGGCTGATGACTGAAGAATAAGCAGAAGCTAGATGATGGGGGTAGAGGGTGGAGTGGAGGAGAGGCAGTGTTTCAGAACTTCCCGGAACTGCCTTCTTCTCTTCCTATTTGCTCTCCCAGTCTCAGCGCCTTCAGAGTCTAGATCATGTCCTTACAGGTCTTTTGAACACTATTTTCAAACATCATTAACCATCCCGGCCAAATCTAATGGCGCGATCACCTCCACAAGTCCATTTCCTGTCATCTCTTTGATATTTCTTAAAAATCAAATCCATGAAAACATTTTTAATATTTATTCTCTACCTATGATGAGTTAATTTGTGCCATGCTTATACACATGTGAGTTAACATGTAAACATGTATACTCATGGAAGCGGACCAGTATTTTGCTACTATCATTTTTGTCAATAGTATTATATATGTTCCCCATCTGTAACATCTTCATTCTGTTATTACTGAAGCATTTTAAAAAGTCAACCGTAGCCTGAATTACTAGATAGAGTGGACTTGACTCAATCCTAAATCTGCCTAGCTTCTTGGTCTTTATAAACTTGTGTGTGTGTTGAATCTCCTGTTTTATGTATTATAGTGTCTGGGATCAGATGCTGTGGGCTTCTCAACCTCTTCTTTCTGGGTGTCCCCCAAAAGGCATACACACGCTGTGAATAATTATAAAGGCAGTGCTTATTAAAGTACCTTTCATTTGCAAAACTGAGCTATCAGCTATTAAAGTGCGGATACATATTTTGGGGACACCCTGGATTGTGTTTCCAGTCTCTTTTCCCTGTGGATCAAGCCCTCGTTTCTATGGAACATCCAAATTATGCCTGGAGTAATTTCTCAAAATTGTGAGTTTCCATGTGTCATTTAAAACTTCTTAAGAATGATCCTGGTGACCCTAAAGACATAGTTTTCTCCTCTGCGTTTTCACAGCATTCTGTTCATGCTCTGTTTTTACACAGGCTAATTGCTTTGTAATTATCCATTGGGCAACTGTTTATTTCCCTGATCCAAACAATGAGTTCTGGCATAGGCACAGGGGTCATGTTTTACTCAATTGTGAACTGCTTGGGACAGTTATTACACACAGGAGATACTCGATAGGTATTTGCTGAGTGACTGCACTTGAAACTCCAAATACCTTCTAAGTACTGCCTCATGCATATTCCTCTGAAATCTAAAATGCAACATATCCATTTTAAAATTGTCTTTACTGATGTATAAATAAAAATAAAAATTTACATAAAATAAAATCCACCCACTTGAAGTGCATTTTCAAGGAGTTTGGAGTGTATAGTTGTGTAACCACAACTAAAATGTAGAACATTTTTATCACTCTAAAAAAATCTCTCTTGCTCCTTTGCACCAGTTCCCTTCCCCACACTCAATCCATGGCAACCACAGTTCTGTTTCTGTCACTACAGTTTTGTCTTTTAAGGATTTCACATAAACCAAATCAGGCAGTATATAGTATTTTGTGTCTGGCTTATTTCACTCAATATAATGATTTTGAGATTCATCTACAGTACTGCATGTATTGATAGTTGGTTACTTTTTTATTGCTGAGCAGTATTTCATCCTATGAATATACCACACTTTGCTTATTTATTCATTAGCTTGAGCTGATTCTTGCTTATAGCTATTAGGAATAAAGCTTCCACTAACATTTGCAGGCAAGCCTGTGTTTTCATTTCTTTCAATTGCTGGGTCATATGGTAGGTATCTGATTACCTTCATAAGGAACTGCCTGTTTTCCAAAATGGCTATACCACAGTGCATCTCCTCAAGCAATATGTATATTCCAACATGGTATTGCCAATCCTTGTATTTTATTTTACCTGTTCCAGTGGGTATGCAGTGGTACATAAGGGTGTTTTTGTGTTGTCCTAATATCTCATGAGACTAATCTTTTGCCATTCACATTTTCACATATTTTATTTGGTGAATTGTCTGTTCAAATATTTTGCCTTTTAAAAAATATATTTTATTGATTTTTTACAGAGAGGAAGGGAGAGGGATAGAGAGCTAGAAACATCAATGAGAGAGAA